CGCTGACGAGCTTCGGCCCCGTGGTGGTGACGCGCTGGATCAGGTTCTTCGCCGCCTGGGCCATGGCGGAGACCGGAGACCAGCAACCGGCGAGCGCGAGCCTGAAAGTCACCTCACTAAGGACCCCGAGGACCCCGGAACCAGGCTGCCCGCGCGCCTGACCCAGGCGACGCTCCGAGCAGGCGTCTGACGCCGGCACCTCTAAGCCGCTGGGGGATGCGCATGCGCACCTGTACTACCAGCGGACTCGGAGCGACCCCTGGCACGCACGCGCACAAACCCGCCCCGGCTCAGCAGGTGGGAGGGGCGAGCCGTGCGGGGCCGCGCGTGCGCGCTGAGCGGTTTCTCGAGGGCGCACGTGCGGGTTGGAGGGGCGATGCGGGGAGCACGCGAGCAGCCCGTCTCCGGGCCCCCGCCGCAGTTAGTGCGGAGAGCAGGGGCCTGCCCCTTTGCTCAGACGGGAGCATGTGCCTTTGAAGGGCGGGCAGGAGCCGCGGCGCCCGTACCCCCCTGCCTGGTCCGAGCCCGAGCGCTGCGATGCTCCGAGCGCTGCCAGGAGCAAGGGCCCGGACTAACGAAGGCTTATTCCGAAACCCAGCGTTCCCACCGAGAAACGAGTCAGGAGCACTGGGGGCCGTCAACTCCCTCCCTGCTGCGACCGCCCCAGGCACGTCTGGCGGCAGGGCACCCCCCGCCCTCCCCTGTCCCCGGTACAGAAGCCACTGCCCTGGGGCTCCTTACACGGGGAAGCCCTGCAGCCACCCCCACAGAACTGCAACAGGAGCTCAGACTTTGTTTTCAGTGCTGTGCACTGGCTCTGTACTGTGCTGACCAACCACTATTTACAGACAACCCTTAAGAAAACCTCTTCCATCCTTGCAAACATCTACCTTAGGAGCTGTTGTGGACACAAAGGTGTTTTGTTTTCACATTATACATCGTATGATAGCATTACATAGTTTAAGTCTGGAGCCCAAGCAGTAGTTGCAGAGAGAGTTCCAGAAAAGGGCTTTTCTGGCAGTGACCAAGCCCCTGAAGTGTGCACACGGCTGTCGTTAAAACTGAAAACTATAAAGAACAAGCAATACAAGGAAAATAACCAGCGGGGCCAACAGAGAAGAGGCTGTAGGATTCCTAGGCTGAGAAGCTGTAGTGCAGTTGGGGTTGTAATATTAACTGTAAGTCTCAAAGCAAATACTAAAAAGGGGATGACAAGGAGGGCCCTAAGCTACAGGGACCCTAGGCCTGGTGGCAATGCACTAAGTGCAGTCTTGGTTAAAGAGTACCGCAGTTCAGACACACGCATTCTGTGGAGCCCTGCTTCCCCTCTGCAGTGCTTTTCTCCCTGGAGAGCCAACTACTGTTCATCGGTACAAAGGTACTTTTGGTTTGTTCAGTTCATAGTGTGTCCTCCAGCTGCTCCTTCTGCTTTTTCCTCTCTGCAAGCCATTGCTGGATCTTCTCTTTAAGTTCTGTGTTTGGTCTAATCTGGTCCATGGTGAGGGGACTCCGATTGAAAGGATCCGTCTGGTCACTGAGAAAGAAAGAGAATGTGAGTGTCAAGGAGATTAAGGCTCTGCCAGGTCTGTCCAATAATAGAAACAAACATCATGAAACCAAGGAATTGGGACGGAGGCAGGCAAAACTCTTCCATTAAGTGAGTCAGACATACCTACAGACACTGATGCCACTAGGTACAAGCGCTGTGGGAGATTCAGAACAGCACACTTTAGATATTAAAACTATCTTATATGTTCATGCTTTAAAATTGCAGCAGTTCCAAACCTCAGGTCATGACCCAAATGAGGGTTGCAAGGGCAATGCCAGCGGCACCGCACACAAAGGACAAGCCACGCCACATGCCACAAGCTCCCCAACCCCGCCTCCAGGCTGCCGCTGCCCCACTCCGCTCCCAGCAGCGGGTTGCAGCCAAAAAAGGTTGGGAACTATTGCTTTAAAATCAGGAGATCTCGCTAGTTTTCCTCTCTGTACTTCCCTCCCACCCTGAAATGGCTACTTCCAAATACAGTATCAGTAAGCTCCTAGACTCTGGAGCCATCTTAGGAAATTTGGGAAAGGAGGAGAGTGGGTACATATACATACTAGGCCTAAAAGGTTGAAGGCAAAGGCACTTATCAAAAAAAATCAAGGCTTCAATGAGCAAATAACCGCTCAGTCCCAACTCCGATCTAAGCAACCCTGTCTTGAGTACCTGAGCAGATGCCTAGCTATCGTTGACCTATCCACGGTGACTCGGGAAGACGGCAGGACCACAGGGTCAGACATTAAGGTGCTCATGATGGGATCCAAGAATTCATCACATGCATCTGCATACGTCTCCTCTTCTTGCTGTTGACGGTCTGCAAGAGACTGGTAGATACATGCACAGCTTTTAACACAAGACCTTGTGACTCAGCTCCCTGTTCTCATCTACAGAAGTCTGACACACACAGCTGAACAGCATAAGGCAAAATGAGTGCATGCACGTGTATGCAGAGGTTCTATCAAACCTTTTTGGTTTGCATCCAGAGCTCAGATACCAGGATGGCTAACAAGTCACAGGAACGCTAAACAAACCCAAAACAAAACACTCACAGCTCTGGCATGCTCAAGGAACGAACACCAATGTGACTTCAGCAAACCCTCACAGTCAAATGGTTTCATAATTTGCAGTTATACAGCTGTTACTGCATCACCAGGATGTAAGCCTATTCCTGGTTTCAGACCTGACAACTGTAGCAAGAGTATACCTTGTCCCTGGGAAGAGATGGCTCAGCTTTCCTGTACAGGATAAAAGTCTCTGGCAAAAATGGGTGCAAGGGAATTGCAGCTTTTTGAGGACAGTATTGAGTTTAACACCTATTCTGTCTCTAACCACATGATATCTATGCACAAGCCAGCATGCTTCTTTGAGAAAAAGGACAAAGTTATCCTGGAAGAGCTGTTACCCTGATGCAATGCATTAGGATTCAAGTCCTTCAACTGGCAATAAGGAGGGCCCCCCTGGCCCCACTTGAGATACTCCTGGACAGATTTCCCATCTATTTCCCCTCTCTCATTGGTGGCAATAAGTGTTTCATTTTCATTTCAGTGGGCTCTTTCACTGCGATAGGTGTTTATCAGCAAATTTTGTGCTTTCTCCTTTAAGTTACATAGGTGTATTATAGGCAGCCTGATGGGTGCGTTCAAGGACTTTCCTAACTGAGATCTGTGCTTTGAGGAAGCATTCTTTCTGTGTATGGCTGAGTATAACAGGTGAAAGGAACCCCCAGAGCAACAGCATTACAGCAGAGTGCTGCAGTAGCCTCTGGATGAAATAAAGAAGCCAAAGGCTTTCTCCTTTTTCCCCCTTCCTGCTCACCTTTATCCGCTCAGCCAGGTTACTGAATGCCACTATCATGTTACCAGGCTTATTGATCTTCTTCAGGACCCTGACTGTCTGGGCAAAAAGGGTTGGTGAATAGGAGCGTCCATCCTTGGGCACCGTGGCACAGAAGTTCTCTTCATCACTGAACCGCATTTGCAAAAAGAAAGAGACCATAAGTGCTTACATTTGTGAAAAGAGGCAGACTGCCAGGCTGCAGAGCATATCAGCCCACACAGCACGTGCACTGCTTCAGCAAAGCATGTGGCACATGGCAAGGGGAAGGAGGAGACACTTCACCCTCCCCGGTGAGCAGCAGCTTCTTCCCACCCCTCCCCATGCTGGATTACAGACGCAAACAACAGCTCCATTGCTACTTAAAGGGTTGTAGCTGCCCTGACCAGCATGGATGAGTTTTATCCCTGTGGTCTTTAAAGCCCTGTTATGAAACATATTATAAGCTAACAGGGCCAGACTGCAGCTCGGCCAGGGAAATTGTGACAGAACTCTGCTGGTCACGACCGTGTCCGCACAGCATTGTTACTAACGGAATCCTATTCCCAGTGTGGACGGAGCTGTGCACATCACGTAAAATAGGAGTGCTCTGACCAAACTTCCTAGAGATAAGCCTGCTAGAATTAATATACAGACTCTTCCATGACTTGCAGTCTCTCCTTAAAGCCTTAAGCATTTAGTTGCTCAGATGAAGAGTGGGGACACTGACAACAAATTATAAAAAGCACGAAGTGATTTCTGGCTGGATTGCATGGGCCACAGTGAGGTGAAAACCAGTAGCTAGTCTGCAGTTCCCCTTACCAGATCCCTACAAAGCATCTCCTCTGCCACCCCAACAGTGTGAACCATCTGTACAAACAAAGGTCCTTCTTTCCCAGAACAGTTGTTGCTGCCTGGCTGCTCTGTCACGTACCCCAGGTTTAGGTAGATGGTGCAGATGTCAGAGACCAGCTGCTGTGGTTTGAAGTCAAACTCGCTGAAATCCTTGACTTTGAGGGCTCCCATTTTAGGGCCAACTAGGTGCTGCAGGAAGTAGTTCAGCATGGAGATGATGCGCTCAGCAAGAAATGGATGCACAAACAGGGACTTGATTTCTGGAAAAAAAGGGAACAGATAAATGAAAACACCAGTTTCCTAAGTAACTCAAGCCCTCCACAGCAGCCCTTCAACTAGGCACAGCTGCCCCACCAAGAGGATCTGCTGTCCTTACCGGACGTCAGGAAGGCCAAGGTTCCAATAGTTTCATTGGACATGATGTTGTGGAAGCGAGCCAGCTGACCGAACATCTGCAGGCTGGATTCCTTCTCACGACGTGCCTCTTGGGACAGGCTGTCCCACTCTCCACGGTCCTTCTCTATCTGCTGGATTTTTATCTTACTCAGGTACTGCAATGAGACGGCATGGGGGTGGCAAGGAAGCAGGAGTCAGCATCATAAGCTTGAAATGCTTAGAATGGTTTTATCACTCTAGGATGGGAAATTATTCCATGCTTTTGGTGGTCCCAAGAGGTAAAGTGCAAGTCAGAAAACACTGAAAAAGGCCCTCTTGTTAGCAGCATTAGCAGAGAAACATCAATAAAATCACAGAAGCTGTACACTTCTTTTCTACCTTGAGAGCAGGCTGATGGCTTTGGTAGGGAGATCTGGGGAAAGCCAGAACTGCTAAGGCCTGTGATGAATCAGAGTTAAGAGAGGCCACAAATGGATCATCTAGTCCAGTCCCTGGTTCCTAAGTCATCCAATGGTCTCGCTGCCTCTTCCTGAAAACTCCCAGTGAAGGAGATAGCACAGCCTCCCTGGGGAACGTGCTCCAGTGCCCTATGGCTCTCCATCTCCCCTT